TATATATATATATATATATATATATATATATATATATATATATATAAAATTATTTATCTGTATATCTTAGATTGTGTGTGTATATTATTCTGCAATAAAAAAGCAAAGTATCAAAAGAAAGAAGAAAGATCCATGATGACAGCTATGCAAGAGACCTAGACACCAGCAGGGAGTTATAATAGGTGATAATTATAAGGGAGGAAGAGCCAGAGCACATTACAGGAAACCAACAGATACTAGTTAGAATTAGTAAATCAAGAAGTTGTAGTATAGATGTATCTTTTTGAAACATGGAATAGAACAACAAAAAGGAAAAATTTGAAAGAACTATGATTCTTCAGGTTCTATGGGGAATGGAATTGTCTTTGGTGAGGGGGAGAGCAGAGGACTGCTGGTTTTCATTGTAGATGTTTTATTACTGTTCAATATGCAAGTGTAACCATAATCAAAATTTAAATAACAAAGGAAAATACAGGCTACAAATAGAAGAACCAAAGTAAACAAAATGGAAATGTAAAAAGTTTGAAAAAAGAACACATGGTAGGTTGAATTCAAGTACATACAGAACAAAGACAAAATATTGAGGGGATTACGATTGTACTACAAAATGCAGATGTTAAAAATCTTGATGAAATAAAAGTACTCATGGGATGGGAAAGCTGAGCATTTGAGGAAAAAATAGTATAAAATATTAACCTCATCATTCATAGAATTTAGTTGTTTAATACCTCCTAAATTTGAAATATGAATTTAAAAATGATTCCATTCTCTCACTATTTTTTGTATCATTTTCCCTAAACAATAATAATTTAGAGAGTATTCCAAGTAAAGATTTTTATCTGAAAATTAATATGTCTTTCAATTCTACTTTATATTAATTTATTTTATTTAAAAATAGCATGTAGAATATAATCTCATTTTTAAACAATCACTCTGTGAGCATCTACTTAAAATAATTTTATTGATTGTTAGCAACAGTTATCCATGAAAGATAGGACCGTGAGAGATATATTGCTTTCTTTTTAAAAAACTCTTCCAGGGGGACCTGTGTAGCTCAGTCAGTAAAGCATCTGCCTTCAGCTCAGGTCATGATCTCAGGATCCTGGGATCCGCCCAGCCCCATGTTGGGCTCCCTGCTCAGCAGGGAGTCTGCTTCTCCCTCTCCCTCTGCCCCTCCCCACTGCTTGTGTTCTCTCGTTCTGTCAAAGAAATACATAAAATATTAAGAAATAAAAGTAATAAATAAAAAATTAAAAACTCTTCCCATATTGCTTATATTTCTATAGTTAAACCTGTATTACTTTATAAAACAAAATAATCATCCTTCAAAATCAGTGGTAAGGTATTATCATGAATACAAAGAGCAAAATACCAAAACTTATCATCCATGATTATCTTTTTTTTTTCTTCTGGATATAAAGCTTGTATTTTCTACAACACTGATGGGCCAATTAATGCTATAATGATTTTGAGAGGTATTGTATTTTTACTGAATTATCTATGTCCTTTCTCATGATATAAATATTATCTCCAAGGACAGATGCTTTCTCTTTCAACTCTGATTCTTAGACAATGCCTACCACAATTTCTTGAACAGGTATTCAGTAGATTTTTTAATATATTTATGTTTGCAGAATGAAAACAGCATCTGGCAGAAAACATATGGGAATCAAACACAAGTTGTATATGAGTCATTAGGGTAGTTCTGTTATTCTCTGTGAGGTGTCTCACCCAGCCTGGATGCTAAATAAATACTTGTTGAACAAACATAAACATGATGCCATAATTCAGTATTCTTATGTTTGAGGAAGAGTAGAGAAAGAGCTTTCTTTCTATTATACATAACCAGGGTAAGCTACTGTATGGTTATAAAATAAAGAGTAAAGATAAAACTAATAATGTGAGCCATCAAGTGCTTCAAATAAACTAGGACTCTACGTGTTTTACATATATCATTTTACTTCATTCTCAAAATTACCCTATTGAGTAGGTTCAAATATTATTGTCATTTTACAGATGGGAAAACTGAAGTGGTATTAGAATTAGGATTCCAATGCAGGCAGTCTGACCCTACAGCCTGTACTTTTAACCTCTAACGACAAAGGACACGATAAGATTATTTAAAAGATTAAGACGGATTCTTCATAGTGATATGAATTGGGTTAGTCAATATATAGCAGCCTAAGAGTTAAGCTCAAGTATACAAGGAGTGTGAAAGCTTACTGGGACTCTGGTTCCCACCAAAGAAAAAGAGGAAATAGAACATATCATGTACTCCAGGAGTATGGTTATCTATGAAGAACTTATAGAACTATCTTCTTGACTCTAAAACTTAAATCAATAAAATTATAGAACAAGGTTTGAGGATATTTGAAAGTACAGAATGAGGGGCACCTGGGGCCTCAGTCGGTTAAGCATCTGACTCTTGATTTTTGGCTCAGGTCATGATCTCAGGGTCATGAGACTGAGCCCCAGGTAGGGCTCCATGCT